AATCTCGTCAACTGAAAAGAAATCTTGTAAAAGAATCCAGGGAAATGAAAAGCTCTCCTTTAGCTATGATCTCTGAAGCTTCTTCAGTTGAAACTTCTACTCCTTTTTGTTTCTTCTCTACCTCCCGTGGTCATCACAGAGATAGATTCTTCTGAGGACATTCCTGAATATGATTTAACAGATTTTGATGAGTCCTTGGCACTCCTGACTAAGTCATTTAGGAGGTTCGCCAGTAAAAGCAATTTCTGCAAATCTCCTCAGCTATCCTTCCGGGAGAAGCCAAAGTCTGAAAGAATAGACAAGGCTTCAGTTGTCTTCTACAACAATCACCGGCCCGGACATTTTGTAGGTGAATGTAGATCTAAGAAGACTGCAACGCCATCTTATAAAGCTTCCTCCTCCTTCAGGACCAAAGATGAAAAATACTTAAAACTAAAGGAGAAATACAAGAAGATGAAGAACAACCAGCGAAAGGCTAAAGGCCTTATTGCTGAAGAGCATGACAGGGCTGAATCATCTGATGAATCATCTTCAGACGAAGAAGATAAAGCTTATGTCTGCTTGATGGCCATTGATGCTGACGAAGGATCTTCTAAAGCATCTACCTATTATGAGCCATCCTCTATTACTCAGGTATATATCCTGAATGAACCCTCTTCTTCTTCTAGTCTTTCTGTACTAGATAAGCTGATGGTTGACCTTTACAATGCCCTCAATGGCAAATCAAAAGCTGAAATGCTTAACGTTGATATTCATGAGCAATTAAAGATTTGTCATTCTAAGATCAAAGAACTGACCTCTGCTGAACTCAAGGCTGAGAAAGCTACCATGGAAGGGTGGTGCAAATCTTCCCTCAAGGCCTCTGAGATCATTAACGCTTAGATCCCGGCCAAGAAAATGACTGGTCTAGGATTCTCCAATGATCAGGAAGAATGTGTTAAAGACAGGTCCATGCTTAAATTTGGTACTTTTGTTTCTTCTATTCCTAACACTTCTTCCTCTCAGTCCTCTTCCTTTACTGAGAGYCATCTTGAAGGAACTCCTTTGAGTTATGGGTGCAAAGACAAAGGTAAATCTACTGTCATAGCATCCCTTCCTAAGAAGTCTAACAAGATAAATAGATCTAAATCTATTCCTTCAACTTGTAAATCTTCTTCTTCTTCTTCTTCTTCTTCTTCTTCTTCTTCTTCTTCTTCTTCTTCTTCTTCTTCTTCTTCTTCTTCTTCTTCTTCTTCT